CCCCCCCCCACGCCCCCCCCCCCCAAAAAAAAATTCCCAGGAATATCCCATTTTGAAGTTGGCAAACCTACCTGGAACTGAATTTGCTCCAGTTCACCTGGCAAATTGGGGCAGAATGTGGACAGGGATGTTCTTTGGGACACAGACTGGTTGTCTTGTACTCTGTAAAGCAATTTGATGGTGCTAAACAAATAAAAATGAGTAGCTATGAGCAGTTATAATTGGATGGGGCAGAAGAACTGGAAGGGGATGAAATTGCAAGTGCAGCATGGCAAGGCGGTAGGAGTATGTTCCCTGCCTCCAAAGCAGCAGCTGACCAGGCAAATAGACTGAGAACAGGCGCAGGGAAATGTGCAAAAGAGAGAAAGATAATGTCATCTTTAAATCTTTGCAAACATTTTTGCACCTCTCCAAAACTGTGACTTTTTTTTTAAAGGAGTGGGGGGGGGGGGGGGAGAGAGACTCTATCTCCCCCTCCCCTTTAGTCTAGATTGTTGCTTTGCTCCTGGTGCTATAGTTTTTGCAACATCGTAATTGTATCAGGGATTGTAATTCAACTCCTCAGGAAACAGGGTTGACTAAATGCATGTTAAACCCTCTCCGGCAGCAAGGATCATGAATTCCTTTTAGAAGCAGTGAAATTACAGTATCTTGGATTTTTTTATGTGTTCTTTGTATTTTGTATTGGTGAGAGGTTCACATTTCTTTACAGGCACCTGTTTGTTAAATTGATTGATGGGCTTTTAAACAAAGAAGTTAGTTTAACGGTGTCCAGGTTCTGAGTAGACAGATTTAACTAGCCACTTTGAAGGAGGAGAGGAGGCACACAGTGTAAAGTCAGGTTGCAGATTTAAATATAGCTATGGGTTATAACAGTATCGGTTTGGTTGTAACTTGTGACAGCTTCTCTAAACAACTTCCTGGCTTGTGGTATTTGGGACTTCTAGCTAGAAAATGACATGAATTGCTTCTGGTGATTTGAATTTCAGTGAGCACTGGTTATTCGTTTTATTCTTCATGTTTGTTTTTCTGCTTTCCCTTAAAAATGAAAAAGATCCAAAGCTTTGTCAAATGATCATTAGCCATAATAGTGAATAACCACAACAACTGATTGCCAGTACTGAAGACTAGCGGGGGGGGGGGGGGGGGGCGTCTCTTGAGCCCACTCCTTGTAACCTTCCAGAGGCATTTGCCTGACTCCTGCAGGAAGAAAAAAGCTAGCCTAAAGGGTATCCTGTTTTGATTTACCTGCCAATTCATATATTTTTCACTTACTATATTGTTAAAATGGGAAGTTAAAATAGGGGAATGTTTACCAACAGTACCTGAAGACAGACTTTTTTCTTATGGAGACATAAAGTGCTTTGTTTTTCCTTTTTTTCTAGAGTGGAAAATTGAGGCACCCCTGCATATATTTTCCTTGTGGTCTCTCAGAGCTCGCCCTACTGATAAATAGTGGATAGTGATGAAAGCTCAACCTGAGATTTTGTCCTGGTCCAAAAAGGAGGCTGGTTCTTGATGGGCTAGGAGGAAGAGAAGACAGAAGCTCAGAAAGAGAGTAGCTCCCTTCCTGGGCTAGAACACTTCTCCCTGACAAGCAGGTGTTCTGTCTGCAGAGAAGTTTTGTGTAAACACATTTTCTCTCACACCTGCAGTGTCTCACACCAGTGCTGAAATCTGTGGTGTGCCTGTTGGCAGAGAAGGGGTACTCTGTGTCTCCTATTAGCAGAAAATGGCTGCAAGTAGCTGCATTGATCCAAAGCACAATCTAGTCATATAAAAACCTTTACTAGGACCAACACGAATAACACAAAACAGTGTGCAAGCTTTCAGGTTCTCCATAACTCTTCATCAGGCTAGGTGTTAATGTCGTTTAGATCAGCTGCTGTTTTATGATTTCAATTTCTCCTCTCTCTCCCCCCCCCCTGTATTTTCCCAGAAGACCAATAATACAACCTGTTATCAGCAACATTATAAATCTGCATATCTGCCCAGTATTCTACACAGGATGCTCACTAGATGAGACCTTAATATCTTGACCTGAAACTTTTTTCTCCTCCTGCCTTCATCTTTTTTTTAAAAACTTCAGTTTTATTAAAGTAGTTAAATTTGTAATAATGTTGGACTAGATTGGCCCCTGGTCTGACTCACTTAAGGCCAGTCTTGTTCTTAATTTGAATTGGTAGTAATGAATTTCTAGGCATTAATGCCATCTTGTCTTCTCACAGGCCTGATTCCAGAGGGCTGCAGCTGTCAGGATGCATCGGTTGTAGGATGCCTACAAGAAAAGAGAAGGAGATGGCAAAGAATATATTAAGAGACTGTTAAAGATCTACAGGTATGGATTGGCCTTGGTATTAACTCCACTTGGAATTGCTTCACTCTTGTACATGTTTAATGTCATCACAGCTTTGTAATATAAATATATTACCGTATGATAGAAAGATGTCAACATTTAATATGTGATTATTATTTTTTACAGAGGCTGTATTTCAAACATATTTCTTCTTTCTCTTCCATTAAAAGAAACATTCCTCACTGGCTGCAAAGTTATTCTACTATATTTGTTGCTGTCATCCCTAGTCTGCCTGTCTGTCACTTCCACGAACTTTTAAAGCCGTTTGTGGTGGTTCAGGGATAGAACAGAAAACGGGGGCTTAAAGGGACTCCCAGTTTAAACCAAGCTGCAAGAGAGAATCAGCTGAGGCGGTGGGAGCTGAGGAGCTCAGTTTAAACTGGACTGCCCAACAGAACCCCCAAAGGAGCAGATCCTGTGGGGATGATTCTCCCCACAGGCTCTGTTAGGGAGCCTGGTTTAAACCAGACTGCCCAACAGAGCCCGCAAAGGAATCGATCCTGCAGAGAGAACTCTCCCTGCAGGGTCTGCTGGTGCTATGCTGGGCAGCCCAGTTTAAACCAGACTGCCGAACAGAGCCCGCCAAGTGGCCTATCCTGGGCTGGCTCCTCTTGCAACTTGGTTTAAACCATGCTGCAAGAGGAGCCAGCCCCAGCCAAGGTGGTGCAAAGCTCTCAGCTCCTGCTGCCCCAGCTTTCCCTCAGTATCATGTCACCTGTCAGCTGTCATTTCTCCAAGCTAAAGAGCCCCAAGTGTTTTAACCTTTCTTCATAGGGAAAGTGTTCCAACCCTTTTATCATTCTAGTTGCCCTTTTCTGCACTTTTCCCAATGCTATAACATCCTTATATTGTAGGTTTAAATCTGACCTCCTACATAAAACTCTTTCTGCTGTGCTGTGGGTAATAGATTTTAGTGGCATGAGCTGCACTCTCAGAAGTCTGTTTGCTCTGTTGAGAGGAGGCTTTTCTCCCTGAAGAAGAAACTGTCTCTGGACAAGATGGGTGTCTTCTTGTCAGGACTGGTGTACTCAGGCAGGATAGGGTCTAACTTGATCTGGTCTGCTCAAGCAAAAAGTCTGCTGTCTGAGAAGCAGGTTGGAGTTGTTGCCGAAATTGCTGTCTATCATTTGTATCTGCTTTAAAAGCACTCTCTATCCTGACAGTCTTGCCTCATTGATCCATGCTTATTTAACCACTTGGTTGGATTGCCATAACTGCTTTCTGTTGGGCTGCCCTCGAAGTAACTTGGAAACTTCACCTTGTACAGAATGCAGCGGCCCACCTCTTGGCTGGAGTAGGGATCTTTGCACATATAGCAACTTTTTCACAATAGCTGCAGTGCTATTCAAGGTGCTAGTTTAAGCCCTTGATGATCTGAGACTTACATCTCCCTCTTTTTGGAAAGTACATCTGATCTCTATGGCACCTCTGACCTCTTTGGTGATGATGCCTTTCTTGTGGAATGGTCTGCTAGATAAGATACTTGGGGTTCCCTCTCAGACAGGGTTTAGAAAACTTTGGATGACCTTTCTTTTCCAACATACCTTTGGAAATTAACCCCAACTAATGCTGAATTTTTTGGATACAGCTTGTCATTGTCAGGTTTTGGTTGTATTTATATATGGGGGGGGCTGAAGTTTGAGTTTGGATTACAAGTGGACTTTTTAGAAATTAAGTGGAACACCTGGGTGACTGTTGCAAGCCAGCTTGTCTTCTAGCAGCCATCCCATAATCTAGACAGTAACAGTAACAGGTTTCTACAGTGGCTCTATGCACTGGAATCTAATGCAGGTAGTCAGGCACATTTCCCCTTTTGAGGTGAAGAACTGCACATACTGAGCTTCCCTGTGGAGCAACCACCTCACATAATATGTTTGGGGTATGATGGAAAGGGAGAGGTTTGTGTCTGCTTCCTCTGCCATGCAGATTGCAATTTTGGCCATTAAGTGTACAAACCAGGCTTTCAACCAATCCGATCTTAAGAGCTTTGCCTTGAAGCATTTGTTATAACTTGATGCCACTTTGTGTATTTTGAGTGGGATCCAAAATATGTCTGTTAATATCTCTGTGTTCCATTTGCTGATATTGTAGGCATGGATCCATATAACAGTCAAAAAGCAAGCCTGTAAAGCTCACAATAGCAGGAAACTTTGATAAATTGTGATAAGCCTACAGCAATTATTTGTGGGCAATACTCTGTCATGTAGGGTTTTTTGGTCTTTCTTTT